ATCTCATTGCATGGCCAGTGATATCACTCTTTGAAACAAATTGTTTTAGTTTATGTTCTTTTATATTATTTATATTCAATTCTTTTCTATTCCTAATTCTTCTCAAAAGAGGCAAGCAGTTCAGAAAAGTGTCTGCTTGGTTTGTCTTTAGGAACATGATGAAAAGCATCTAGAAAAGCGTTTCGTGACAGACAATTTGAAGACAAGTCTTTCATAAGATGGAAAGCTCGATCAGGCAAATGGAAAAAAAAAAATCCAAAAAAGTCTAACTGATTTATTTTTTACAGGCAATTTCTATGGAAATACATTAACTTGTCAATGCTTATAGAGTATGTTAATAATTCTGTGTAACAAGGGCATGTAAGTGCATACGGTTCTGAGGCCATCTCCTGAGAACTGACTCCTTTTCTTTTTTTTGCTTGATGTGTCGCAATAATGACATATTTTTTTTGCTCTGGGTGCTCTGTTTGTGCACTTTTCGCGCGTTAGAGCTCCGCAAAAACGAAAAAATGATTTCACAGAAATATTTCTTAAGTTTTCCTTATCAGAAAAAAGCAACGATTTTCTCGTTTATGAAATATGCTTCATGTTTTTTTTGTTTGTTTTGTCAAAATTTGACGGTGCTGTTTCTTTTCGCCGTGTAGTATCTTTAGACGATATGACTTCATGTTGCTTCCTTCTTCCTTCATGTTACGGGAAAGTTGTGCTCATGCTTAGAGCCGTTGGCAGACTCCGAAGAAGTTCTAAGATTAAGAACCAGGCTTCAGGAGTCGGATAAGATGCTCCAAAGTGCCGAGCAGCAGATAAACGAACTGGAAACGAGAATTGAATCTTGGAGACAAGAGGTACCAGGTTCTTTATTCCTGAATGTCGTGTCATACATGGTCCCCTCTGGTTTGCGTGAAGGAAGCATAGACAATAGTCGAAAGCGAATCGCCGCGGCCGTTCGGCAATCGGGGACAAAGAGCCGTTTGGGGGGAAATTTTAGCAGTTGAAAGATTCCAAATATTTTGAAAAAAGAGAGAAACTTGTAGATTTGAGTTGATGGCAAATGGGTAACGACAAGGAGACCAGAGAAATCTGGATGGAGATCGGGGAAACGCCTGCCAGCTGTCACAACGGCTGAGAAACTTTTTTCGAGCGAAGAGAAGAGCAAGATTTTAACAAGTATAGATTTGATTACTGTAGCGAGCGCGGTACGCACCCAAGACGCATCATAGTACGTCTTATTTATGTATATTTGTATGTAGCTCCATTTTAGTGGCCTTTTTGTATAACGCACTAAGCTTTAACTTATAAATCTTAACGCATATGGGCATTGATACAGAGTCACGGACCTAAACCTAGAATTCATGGATTAGGATTTTTGTTCTCCGTGTTTTGATACTTCGTTTTGTGATTGATTTATTCTATGCCCACGTTTCTTCTTGACGAGGAAAGAAAAACTGAAAGGCAAAGAATGTGAGTATAACTGGTTGAATCCTCAACTGATAATATAATGACTATATCCGTTGAACATACTGATTAGTTGGTTGTGGGGCCTGGGGTGTCAACGTGCTTAGATTGACAGCCGGTGTTCCCGCCCATGAATTACGAGGCAAAATGCGTAAACTCGCGTTTCTACACTAAATTATGTGGGGATACACAGAATTTTATTTTTGTAATATCCTATTAAGGCAGGAACCCCTCTGTGTGACCTTGGTTATCTTCTTCACTGCGTGATGTCATTCAATGGTTTCCTGCAGGCTCGATATTTTCTTTTTTGTCATATTAACAAACCAGTGTTTTATTACAAATCGAAATAAAACAAGCAGCTGAATTAACTTTATTCTCAATATCTCTGACTATTTACGGAAGGCAGAGTGAATTCTTACTCGTCGAAGTATTTAAGGTAATAGGGAAGTCTATTGTGACGACTTTTTAAATCAACAACGTTTTTCATTGAATTATAATAGGTGGAACCTCAGTGCCGTATCGAAATTTTTGAAAAAATAATTTTAACATGGATTTCATTACCCGTCAGAATTGCACGTAATATCTCAAAAAGTCAGAAAAACTGAAACATTTTAGACAACTTAACTGGTTTCACCCTAAGTTTCGTCAAGTTTCAAGAAAATTCGATCCAATATTGGCTAAGAATTAACTCTGAAGTTCAGAATACTAGAGAAAACAGGTAACGACAAAACTCGACCTATCAATTTTTAAA